GGCAAGGAGACTTTAGCGCATATTGTAAGGAGCCCTGGAATGGGGACAAATGAAATAGCGCTAACAGGGTATCTAGTTCGAATATACGACTCAGCTCTCGGTCACGCCAAGTCAGCAGCTCATTCGGCCCACGGACGATGGCCCGAGCACATTGCCACCCGTGCAAATGATGTTCTGTCTGAAACAAAAGAACAGCAAGAAGATTAATTCGCATCGTTGGCTCTTTAATGCTTTCGGCCGTATCTTGAATCCTGAAGTCTGTATCCTACTGGATGCCGGTACCAAACCTGGCCCTAAGTCCTTGTTGTACCTCTGGGAGGCATTCTATAACGATAAGGATCTTGGTGGTGCATGTGGTGAAATCCACGCTATGTTGGGCAAGGGATGGCGGAACTTGATCAACCCTCTGGTGGCTGCCCAGAATTTCGAGTACAAGATTAGTAACATCTTGGATAAACCTCTCGAGAGTTCTTTCGGTTACGTTAGTGTCTTACCCGGTGCATTCTCGGCCTATCGATTCCGTGCGATTATGGGTCGCCCTCTCGAACAATATTTCCACGGTGATCATACGCTGTCCAAACAGCTTGGAAAGAAGGGTATTGAGGGTATGAACATTTTCAAGAAGAACATGTTCTTGGCCGAGGATCGAATTCTCTGTTTCGAGTTGGTCGCTAAGGCAGGCTCTAAGTGGCACTTATCTTATGTCAAAGCCTCAAAGGGTGAAACCGACGTGCCTGAAGGTGCAGCCGAGTTTATCTCCCAACGTCGACGTTGGCTCAACGGTTCTTTTGCAGCTGGAATTTACTCGCTGATGCACTTTGGCCGTATGTATAAGAGTGGTCACAACATCGTTCGCATGTTCTTCCTCCACATCCAGATGTTGTATAACATCTTCAACACTTTGCTCACCTGGTTCTCGCTGGCTTCCTACTGGCTGACCACCACTGTCATCATCGACCTTGTCGGTACTCCAAGTGACAGCAACGGAAACAGCGCTTTCCCTTTCGGCAAGACCGCCACGCCCATCATCAACACGATTGTGAAGTACGGATATCTCGCTTTCCTATTGCTGCAGTTCATCCTCGCTCTCGGTAACAGACCCAAGGGTTCCAAGTTCTCGTACCTTGCCTCGTTCGTGGTCTTCGGTCTTATTCAGGTTTATATCGTGGTCGATTCGATCTACCTAGTCGTTCGCGCGTTCAGCGGCGATGCGCCTATGGATTTTGTTACTGACCAAGGCGTGAAAGCATTCCTTGATTCTTTCTTTGGGTCGACAGGCGCTGGTATCATTATCATTGCCTTGGCTGCCACATTCGGTCTTTACTTCGTTGCCTCCTTCATGTATGCCGACCCCTGGCACATGTTCACGTCCTTCCCTGCCTACATGGTTATTCAGTCGTCCTACATCAACATTCTGAATGTCTATGCATTCAGCAATTGGCACGACGTCTCCTGGGGTACAAAGGGCTCTGACAAGGCCGATGCATTACCATCGGCCACGACTACAAAAGATGAGGGTAGTAAGGAAGCAGTAATAGAAGAAATCGACAAGCCCCAGGCGGATATTGACAGCCAATTCGAGGCAACCGTGAAGCGTGCGCTCACCCCTTTCGTTGCCCCTGTGGAAAACGACGAAAAGACTCTCGAGGACTCCTACAAGAGTTTCCGTACCCGGCTCGTCACCTTTTGGATCTTCAGTAATGCAATCCTGGCAGTATGCATCACCAGCGAGTCTGTCGATAAGTTCGGCTTCTCAGTGAGTTTCCTTCTCTCCCTCCCTCTTAACCTTGATATTAAAACACAGACTAATATGATCATAGAATACTGCCACCAGTCGTACAGCCCATTTCTTCCAGGCCCTTTTGTGGTCCAACGCCATTGTGGCATTGTTCCGCTTCATTGGATGCTGTTGGTTCTTAGGTCGCACTGGTATCAAGTGCTGCTTCGCGCGCCGGTAGTTCGATTCCAGTGAGCACAAAATGTGTACCGTTTCTCATGACCCCCTTGACACAATTTCCTATTCTCTTCTCCTTCTTTCCCATACCGTGATCTGTATTCTACCTAGAGATGCTCAGCCCTCTTCTCTTCTCTTTTTTTTTTTTTTGCAGCCAGTGTGTATTCGCGTGGTTTTACCCGTGACGATTACTGTGATCTTTTTTTGTCGGACCAGCAATTCACCGGGATCGCATTCGGGGCGCTATGATTATCTACTTCATATTCAATTTTTTTTTTCCATGGAGATTTCAATGTTCAGTAGAGATATATATACATATGTATATATCCCGTAGACTTGTAGTGCGGAGCTCCCGAGGTCGAATACGTCAACTTGGTGAAAGGCGGAGAGGCGATATGGATAGGGCGATTGCTGATCTAAAACCCCGCAAGCACAGGGCGACCCTCCAGTCCCTTCCACCTTCGTCATCGTTGTCACCCGTTGATATTGTCCTATACAGCTTCGCATTTCCTTTCTGCCTCTCTTTTATCCTCTGACCTACTCAGAGTGGTTATTTCGCTGTAAACCTCCTCCCCCCGAAAACCGTCAGTTCCACCAGGTGGGGTGGTGACTGCCAGCCAAAATGCTGAAAATCTGGTCGATGGTAGGGTTTTATTTGATTCCTACAGAAAAGATGAACTATCACTAATAGTATGCGCAGAAACAAAAGCAGCAAGAGGCTGAGAATGCCGAGGGTGCTGCAGGCAAGAAGAAGAAGAAGGTCACCGCGGCGCAATTACGCGTGCAACGAGGTGAATGACTCTCATAGTGGACAGTATAACTGTTACTACTTGTTTAGTTGGATCATTGTTATATATCTAACCTCTTATCTCTTCAGACCTTCAAGAACTCACCCTCGGCAGCACGATGAAAATGTCCTTCCCGAACCCCGATGACATCCTCAACTTCACCTTGACCATTGAACCGGACGAAGGCATGTATAAAGGTGGTGTCTTCAACTTTAGCTTCGCCGTGAACCAAAACTTCCCCCACGATCCTCCCAAGGTCAAATGCATGCAGAAGATATACCATCCTAATATCGACTTGGAGGGCAACGTCTGCTTGAACATTCTACGAGAGGACTGGAAGCCCGTGTTGAATCTGAATGCTGTCATTGTGGGCATGCAGGTCCGTTGATTTCTTCCTGGTCATTACTTTGGCTGACTGTTATTTTACCGCAGTTCCTTTTCCTCGAGCCAAACGCCTCCGACCCTCTCAACAAGGACGCTGCGGAGGACCTTCGCGCCACTCGTGATACCTTTAAGAAGAACGTGCGAAACTCCATGGCCGGCGGGTCCGTCCGAGGCATATCATTTGAGCGTGTGCTACGGTGAACGCCAGCTGCGCCTTCAAACCTGCAGTTTTTTTTCTTCCTCATCGGTTCCCATATCCCATGGCAATGAGTAGATACGGGATGATGATCTATGGTTTTAACATGACGGAGACATGATTCGGCAATCCTATGGGGGGTGCACTGGTGTTTCCACGTACATATATCCGGCGTAATTAGCGTTTGAACACAATAGATCCAATTCGCTTACTTGGCTGGTCGGGAGTAGGGGTCAAGTATATCGATCTGCAGGTTCTCGCGATACTACGTATAATGGTGATGGCCACAACCAATCACTGAACCAGATAAAGAGTAAGGCCCAAAATCAAAGCGGTTGGTTCTCCATAGGCGTATATGTACAATCGATATCAAATCTGACCACCCACTCGTACACACCCGTCGATTCAACCAAGCCCGATGGATGATGTCGAGACATGTGCCCCCATCATTGGGCGATTTTCTAGATAACGCTTTGACAAAGAAAAGAACAGGCGCCGAACGGGCGGGAAGGAGACAATCGAGAGGTGATCAGCGTTGATCGATTTAACCGCGTTGGGCAGCACGCTCAGCCTCAAGGCGGGCGTAGTAGGTATCGCGCTCACGAACGCGGGGGAGGTGGTAGCCTGTGGGACAAACACATGGTTAGATTTCGAGTCGATCGCGTGGGTTGGCGCAAGTCGCAGATAATCTACTTACCGTACCACCAGAGGTAGCCGAAGGTAGTACCGAAGCCTAGTGGAGGAGGTTCCCTGATCAGCAACTATATTACTTGTTGATCTCATCCTAACTATCTTCTTGGTGCTTGAATTTCGTGTGGTCGCTCGCGAGAGATCGTGATGTTCACTCGTCATTCGATCATGCCACTCGATGCGGATCACAACTTACCGAAAGCGGTGCTCAGATCCAGAACAAGACCACGGCGGAGCATCTGTAGACGAGTATAATATGTCAGTAAACCATTGCGAACATTTTAATTGACTTGATCAACCCGCTCGGGTTAACCCGGCCTTGAACGGAAGGGGCACGTACGCCGGTAATGGGGGGAATAGCGGCGGGCATTGTGACGAATAAGTTGCGTCAATCGATGCTCGAGCAAAAGCAATGTGCGTTGTGGACAGCTCAAAACCTGCCTTGGACGTTGGTGGGGAGAGAAGAGGGGGGATAAGGAGGAAGGCTGATTTGTGAGGTGAAGTTGAAGCTTCGGAGCGGACTAAGCGAGCCGCCGGATTGGTCGGTCGTACTATGAGAGCGAACTATGGCATGTTTTCCCTTCCAATACTATCCTAGGGCTGCAAAATACCACCACAGGTTTATTTTCTTGTAGCTTTCTATATACTGAATCATTTACCTCAATGAAATGAGTACTCCACGCCCTTTATTACGACTGTGAATATCAAAAGCAGGGGTCACAGCAACTAGAGGAAGCTCTCGAGATGGAGGATATGTGAGATGAACGAAGCCTATTTTGGTGGCATTATTTGCTCATCTACATATTGAATGTTCTATCTAAGCGATCTATCTACTCAAAAGTCCAAAACAAGCAATTAATCTTGCTTCCTCATATCCCCCAAGGTCGATGACAGCTGCTCATTGATCTACTTACCGCCTTAAGCACGTGACCCTCACTCGATAACATTGCCTGGTCGGGACGACCACTTCTTAGATCAGACCAATACAATGACCATGGCGACATCAGGCGTCCATGTTAAACGACCATTCTCATCTACCGACAAGAACAATCCCAAGCGGATAAAGCGACATTATCATCATCACCATCGTTTACATGAGCCTGTAGTTCTCCCATCCACGTCTGAGCCAGCCGTGCAAGATGACACTCACCTCGACCAATTGATGAATCGTGCAGTCGGCCAAACTTTGAAAGACTCGGGGTTTGAATTGGCTGATCCTGCTGCATTATCCAGTTTGTGCAGTGCTACAGAGGAGTGTATGTGACCCGATATCGAATCCATTTTGAAGCTTGAATTGTTGAATTGACAGGTTGCGCCTGAAATCTTTAGACATGCTACGGCTCTCCACATTCATCCGTCAATCCATGCTATCTGCGCGACGCGTCCAACCGATTCCGCAAGATTTTGACCACGCTCTGAAGCGTCTCCACCTCAGTCCCGATGATCTTCTCCCTCATCTCAAACCAGCGCCCTCAGACAAACACACACCGACATTATTACCATCCCCCCCACCAGAGAATGAAATATCTAAATCTCTTCCATTTCTCACGGCGTTGAGTAGTGAAGATGATCGCGCAAATCGTTCCTACATCCCAAAGCATTTCCCGAGTTTTCCTAGCAAACACACCTATTCTGCCACTGCAGTCTTCATTGGACGAGACAACGACCCACGCAAGATTAGAGAACGCGCTGCAGAGGATGGACGACATGGCGAGGAAGCTTTGCGAAAATTAGCGAGCGCCGCATTCCGCGACAATCAGACGGGCTCGACTGGCCGCGATAAAAAGCTCTGGGGCCGGAGAATGGACAGCATGGAAAGCATGTTCGAAAAGACGATCAAGGGCCTATCCAAAAAGAACAGCAAGGACTCTCATGGCACATTTATCAGCTCAGCCATGGATATTGATTCAGGACACCCGGCGGATGCCGACACAAAATCCCGGCTCAAGCTCTCGTGGAATATGGAGTTGGGTCCCATTGTCAACTGTGAGCGAGACCTCTGGCGTCGGACAAGCTCGAATTCACGGCGAGGAGAAGAGAAGACTTCAAAGCCTCTAGCAAATGTCGAGCCAGCGGATGTCATGACGGACGTGTAAATTACAAAGGCACAAGGCCTACTGGCGTTTCCCCTCTTTCTTTCCTTTTCCCTCTAATGGTGGGCTGGTGTTTATGTTTTAGTTCAGGAGCATGATCCGAGGAGATACCCCATGGCAGTCACAAGCATTATTCAAACGCAACTTTTATTCTTGAAACTTTGAAGTGATTGTAATCCCATATAGTCAACTCCACCCAATGCGCATTCGTAATAATGCAAAGTACATAGTCGCTCTCATTGTTTCGTATTCGCTGTTTGATTTTGTTTCGCTTCCGCTACCAGCCTAATTGTCTCCCATGATGTTGTCTCAACCATTAACCCACCGGCACAGCTACGAGATCAGCTTGATATTTGACTCGAAGTCGATGCTCAAGACTCACCGTCGAAACAACCGCACGACAGGCTCGCACACCACAACCCCTGGTTCGGGAACCCCATTTTGTGGTGGATTGCAGGAGAATTGTGTCATTTCAAGTAATGGGCACTCCTTGAGGTTGACTGGTTGGCCTTTGCGGCGTTTCTCTTGGAAGTTGCGGCGGACGGTATTGACATGATCGGGGAGAGATTCTGCAGAGAAGATGGGGACGAGAGGTGCCATTGTGATTCTCAATTGCGAATATGAGATTGTTGAATTAGAGTGAGATTTGGAGGTTTCGTGTCAAAGGGGAAATATTCGAAGTGCCCAAGTGAAGTTGGCTGGGGAAGGTCGGAAACCCCGTCAGCCGCGCTATTTGACCTCGGCGAATTTCCGCTCGCGTCACTTCTACACCTCTACACTTTTACCATTTTTCTTTTGTCGCATCTACATATGTAGTCGTCAAAATTTATATATCGTGTTCAAAATCTAGTGGCACTAGATCTATGACGCAGACCGTTGCTTACACATGGCAGCCAATCTTGGGGAGAGATCGCTAGCTGATGTACACCAAGAGGGACTAGATGAGGTATTACACTTGTTTTCTCTTTTTCTTTTCTTTGAATGCATTGAGTTGACTAGTTTTAGATACTCTCTGGATTGATCCATTTTAATACTGGTCACTCAAGCCATGGCACGAATTCATTAGGCGTGCCCATTGTGGACGCTTTGCTTGAAGTCTTCGCGGCAAAAGCAATTGGTGTGTCAGGTGCTGTGAATGATGGACAACCTCAATCTCCAAGTATGTCTGTAGAGCAGCAGGCTGTTGAAGATGAGGAAATGCTGCTGCACAATGAATTCCTGGCTCAGCCGGATGAAATACACACAGTGCAAGACATTGGTCCATATCCTAATGTGCTGTTATCAGACCCCAAGAAACAGCAAGTTCCTATCGTGGAGATTTCAAGCAGCCTGTCGGCCTCGGGGAAGTCCCAACTCCTGTATTATCTCACAGCTCTCGCCATCTTACCACCAAAGTATGGCGACATCTCGGTCAGTGGCCAAGAGGCAGCTGTGGTGTTCATAGATACCGACAACCGATTCGATGCCGAAAGACTAAGAACTGTGGCTCGGGGTATCGTACTGCAGCAGCGAGGACTATCTAATCGAGCTCAACCAGGAGGAACGTCAGATCTTGACTTATTGCTCGTCTCTTCACTACAGCATGTCCATGTCTTTCGTCCACAATCTTCGTCCGGTCTTTTGGCCACAATTCACACGCTAGAATCATATCTTTTCAACCTCTCGCGACATTCTTCCGCATCACGTCCCTTACAAATGATCGCCATTGACAGTGCCACCGCTTTCATCTGGCAAGACCGGCTGCGTGACGAAGTCGCTCGGACTGAAGAAATTGGGCGCCCCCAAGCAGAAATTGATTCTGAGCGCGAGCAAAACCAGAGTTTCCATTTGTCCGACCTCTATAACGAGATGGTGAAGGAGCTGAAACGTCTCCAGAGTCGGTTCCAGTGTGCAATTGTGTATTCCGCAACGGTTTCAGGGGGTCGGGCTTCCGGCCCTGGTCACTACGACCAGTCCCAGGCTCGTGTTCCATCGCTGAGGCCTGCTCTTCCTACACCCTGGGGTACCTTTCCAACCTTGCGTCTGATTGTCCACCGGCCTTCTGTTCGCCCATTTCCACCGAGCATGGCAGCCCATGCAGCCGTGAAAGACGCCTCTTCACGACAGAGCGTGGTTCAGCAAGGGAAGATATCGGCATGGGTCAATCCGTGGGGATGCAATGAATGGCCCCGTCGCATAGTTGAAGCAATCGAGGCGAACAATGGTGGGAGTTTTTCATTCTACATGGGCGACTCGGGGGTTGAGATAACCGATCCTCATCATTAATTGATGGTGTAAATTCATCTACGACAATGTTTGTAGCTTCATGTAAACAGCTTGGCAATTGCCTCAACGGTTGTGTTGCCACCGCTAAACACAACGCCAACATCCCATCCGTCTTTGCCACCCTCTTGTTCCACTTGTCGCCTGAAGTTTTCATCAAAGAGACACACGGCCAGTCCAACCACTGCACTTGGCTCAACAACCACTTTCATGCGTTCTATAACCAACCGCATGGCTGACTTGATCTGCTCTTCGGTAACTGCGAACACCCCCGCCACCTTCTTCTCATTGGAAATAACCTCCCAATTGAGTAATCCCACCGGAGTGCGTAGGCCGTCTGCGATAGTGAGGGTGCCAACGGCTTCTACTCGTTTTCCAGCCTGCAGTCCGCGTCGACAATCATCTGCACCTTCAAAGCTGGGCTCTGCACCGAATACTCGGGTCTGCTTATCCGAGAACCATGTCGCCACACCGGAGTTGAGTCCACCTCCACCAATAGGAGTGATAACCGCATCTAGGGCCCGGGAACCAGCTTCGGCGTGCTGTGCTTCCAGCTCCAAAGCTGTTGTACCCTGCCCACAAATGACATTGAAGTCATCATATGGTGGCACCAGAATGGCGTTTGTCTTTGCCTGTATATCTGCCACCACAGCTTCACGTTCTATACTCGTCGAGCCGCTGAAGATCACCTCCGCACCGTGGGACTGCGTACCCGCAATCTTCGATGGCGTGCTGATGCGGGGCATCACAACGTAGGCGGGAATGCCCAGAGTCGAGGCAGCGAGGGCGAGGGCTTGTGCATGGTTTCCTGAAATGGAAAGGATTCAGCATGTCTAATTTTGACTTGCGTAGTAGAAGATCAGAAAATACCAGAGCTATGTGTAACAACCCCACGCTGTTTGACTTCCTCCCCGCGGTCCTCCAACAATCGCAGTAATGCGTGGAATGCACCGCGTGCTTTGAAGGCACCAATTCGCTGAAAGTTCTCACATTTAAAGAAGAGTCGGAATTGTGGGCGAGCAGGAGTTTGGCCTTCAAACAGCGTTCCAATCAAGGCTTCGGGTGCTTGCGGTGTTGAGGCGATAGTGTCGAGTGTTTTGCATGTCAACAGCGGCGTACGGTGCACATGGGGCTGGATGAGACCATATGCCGCTTGAATTGCGGCTGGGGTGAGCGATTGAGCTGCAACGGAGGGCGAAGGCATGGTTGGTTGAAGAGGAGGTTGAAGAAGAGAAAACAAGATGACTCTTATTATTTTACCCCGGATTCTTCTCCGGGATTCGGCGCGGGGCTATAGCTGCAGGCACAAGCTGCAACAGTGCATAATCTAAAAGCTACGGAAACTTGGAAGAAAAAAAAAAGTAACTGGGGAATGGCCGGTAAAGCCTCAAAATAATATTTCCGACTTGAAACCCAAAAAGAACAGTTCATAGTACATCATCATTTTTTGAACCCACGGGTATCAAGGTATTATTTATTTCTGGTTCTCGGGGCGGAGAGAACGGACGGCCTTTCCGGCGCGCCAGATCTCGAGATCGCGGATCTCCTGCATCTCCTTCTCATACTTCTCGCGGTAATCGGGCTGCGAGTTGTAGTCGAGAGAGCGCTGGGTCTCAGTTCCGTTGTGGACGCTGTCATAGAGGTCGTTGAAGACGGGCTTCAGGGTATCCTTGAAGCGGCTGGACCAGTCAAGGGCACCGCGACGGGCAGTGGTGGAGCAGGCAGCGTACATCCAATCCATACCGTTACCACCGATCAGGGGGTACAGGGACTGGGTGGCCTCCTCAACGGTCTCGTTGAAAGCCTCAGAGGGGCTGTGGCCACGCTCACGGAGAACCTCGTACTGAGCGAGGAACATACCGTGGATACCGCCCATAAGGCAGCCACGCTCACCGTAGAGGTCAGAGTAGACCTCCTTTTCAAAGGTGGTCTCGTAAAGGTAGCCGGAACCGACGGCGACACCCATGGCGATGGCACGCTCCTTGGCCTGGCCGGTGACGTCCTGGAAGACGGCGATGGAGGAGTTGATACCACGGCCCTCACGGAAGAGTGTGCGGACGGTACGGCCGGAACCCTTGGGGGCAACAAGGATGACATCAATGTCTGTGGGGACATCGACCTTGGTGAGGTCCTTGAAGACGGGGGAGAAACCGTGGGAGAAGTAGAGAGTCTTGCCCTTGGTGAGGAGGGGCTTGATAGTGGGCCAGGTCTCGGACTGAGCGGCATCGGAGAGCAAGTTCATGACAATGGTACCCTTCTCAATGGCGGTGGTCATATCGAACAGGTTCTTGCCGGGAACCCAGCCATCCTGGATGGCCTCCTTCCAAGAGGCACCATCCTTGCGGACACCGACGATAACGTTGAGACCCTGGTCACGCAGGTTCAGACCCTGACCGTGACCCTGGGAGCCGTAGCCGATGAGGGCAAGGGTATCGTTCTTGAAGTACTCCTGGAGCTTCTCACGGGGCCAGTCGGCACGCTCGTAGACATCCTCCTTGACACCGGCGAAGTCAATAGTCTTGATACCACGGACGGGGGTGACGACCGAGGAGACACGGGGGAGAATAGCAGCAGCGATGGCAGGGCGAGGGAGGGCTGCGGTAATGACCGAGCGAGGAGCGGCCACGCGGGCGAGGCGGAGGGCACGAGGAATACCACGGGAAGCCATTGTGAGATATGGAAGAGAGGGGAGTGGAGAGTGAAGGAGGAAAAGAAGAAGTAGGACTGGGGAAGCTTGGGAATTTAAATAATGGGCGAAATATGCTGGGCCATTCGAGTCACCGTAGCAATTCTCGGAGAGCAGACCTTGCTCCCCGGAGACCCACACCGACACCGGCCACTGTTTTAATTGGAGATTATTGATTTATTATGTCATGAATTGCGTTTCCCAGTGCAACAAGCGTGGGCTCATTTTTTTATGGCGTATCTCATGTGGGTTTTGGGAGGCCGATATTTTCCCCGGAGTAGGAACAATCTCCGGGTTATCAAAAATATCAAAATGAGTCAGCCTGGAGAGTGCCGGGCAGGTGATTGGAATAGATTGGAGTGCCCCAGGTGGATTGGAAGAGGCAAGTCCAGACTCTTTTTTGGGGGGATTTGTACACGTGACTTTTCGTGTCTTCCTTTCCAAAAGTACTATTTCTGCCTCAGGCCTTCTATAATATCTCCCCTCTAACAAAGTACATACTTCCCCCACACTCACACACCTTCCATTACTTTGCACTTCCTCTTTTTTCTAGTACCATGTCTATAGAATGAGTGTCTTCTCATTCGGGAATCTGCCCACTATTCAAACCCGTAAGGCCTTACTACTACTTGACTTTCAAAATGACTTCGTCCGTCCGACCGGGGGTTTACATATCCCCAACACACCAGATATCCTCGAAACCCTCCCACAACTGGCATCTGCATTCCGTCGAGTTGGCAATGTAGTTTGGGTGCGCTCACAATACGAATCCCCTCAGACTATTGTCGACTGGAATTTTGGTGACCGAATTGTCCTGGACAGAGAGCCACCACGCAGAAAAAAGATACCTACCTCGGATATAATTGAAGTGGAGTCGGACCATGATTCACCAGAACTTGTCGACCCCGAAGCCTTTCTCTCTGCCGACTCTTCGCCATGTTGTGACCCACGTACCCCCGGACATCAGTTCCCCGCACCGATTCTGGCCGCCATCAACCCCCAACATGACATGGTAGTAGATAAAACAGGATACTCCGCCCTGGAGTCCCCCGGCCTTGTGCTATCCTTCAGAACACACTTTGTGACAGAGCTGTACCTTTGTGGCTCATTGTCTAATGTGTCTGTGTTTGCGACCGCTTTGGATGCTGTCCGCAACGGATTTTCAGTAACTCTCGTGGAGGACTGCTTGGGATTCCGCGATTTTCAGCGGCATCAAGAAGCAATGCGACGTATGGCGGATATCCTAGGAGCGAGTGGTATCACTGCTCGGGAGCTCATTCAGGAGCTAGATTGGGATGAGACTGCGGCAATTGCTCGCCAAGGCGCATCGCAGCCTAAGAGGTCAGCAGCTACGGCTGGCCTAGAGAGCGTCATGGATGGTTTGGAATTCTGGAATACCACGGACACCCCTCCCACAGATGACTCGCGCGATACAGAGGAGATGAGCCTTTCGTTTACTCTTTCTCGCGCCCAGCGCGCCACCGCACAGGCGCGGGGTCCCGTGGAAGAGCAAAAGAAAGTACGCGCGCGTACCCATCGTCCGAAGCACCGAGACGCCCCAAAAGAATCTTCAACCGGACCTCGCGCTGGTTCCAACAGGGGAATAATACCACAATTTGCAGGAATATCAAATACACGCCAACTCAAGATTGGGGAAGGAGACTCGCGCCTTGTAAAAAATGTTGACTTGGCTGCAGACTCATTTGAGCGTATACAGGCAGAGGTAGATTGGCAGAAGATGTACCATCTGTCAGGCCAGGTACCCCGATTGGTTGCAGTCCAGGGTCGAACTCGACCCGATGGAGCCATACCCATATATCGTCATCCGGCAGATGAATCTCCGCCCTTCAAGCCATTTACCTCCGCGGTTGACGAAGTGCGCATAGCTGTTGAGCAAACGCTAGGTCATCCCTTGAATCATGTGCTTATTCAGCTTTATCGTGATGGACATGATCGCATATCAGAGCACTCAGATAAGACGCTGGATATTGCGCGAGGTTCTTTCATTTGCAATGTTAGTCTAGGCGCTGAGCGCGTGATGGTCCTCCGTACCAAGGCCTCAGCGTCTGAGCCAGAGGGTGGGAGTGAACCATATCGGACAACGCAGCGCGTGGCTCTTCCTCACAATTCACTTTTTGTACTCGGTCCAAAGACGAACATGCGATGGCTTCATGGTATCCGGGCCGACAAACGGCCCGATGGAACCAAATCCACCGAGGAACAGGCTTATGGTGGCCAGCGCATTTCCCTTACTTTCCGTCATATTGGCACTTTTATCGATCCTGCGGCGAACACAATCTGGGGACAAGGGGCTGTTAGTAAGACGTTGGGCCAGGCCCGCGCTGTGGTCCACGGGGATCCTGCTGAAACAGCGCGCCTCATTGATGCGTTTGGCCAGGAAAATCGTGCGACGGAATTCGATTGGGACGCCGTGTACGGTGGGGGCTTTGATGTGGTGAATTTTGTGACTACATCAACAGGACGGCTAGTACTTGGCCGTGACCTTGTGGCAAATTTGCGTGTGCGTCTTTGTCTTGGGGAAAACGGCGTCCGACACCGATTGGTCACCAACCACGAGCAACCGCCCGGGACTAGAAATAGTCACCTAATGACACTACCGATATATGAAACGTCCGATGGAACGACAGTCGTGGGTGACTCCATCATCTTGACATACATGGCCAACCGATCTGCCAAGACCCCACGACCAGGCGTAGATTCGTTACGCGGGGGCAATTTCTTGTCGATGATTGACCAGTTTCTGGCACACTGGCGCCAACACCGTACTACCAACTCCAGTGTGTTTGAATATGGAATTGATGATTGGGAGCGTACTCTGCGGGGGCAACATTACCTAGGAGGATCTGTATTCACCATTGACGATTGCTCTCTATGGCCAATCCTGTGGGATATTGTACAGACCCAGGGTGCATTCGATGCTCGGTTCATGAGCGTGAATCAATATTATCACCGAGTCAAGAATCGGGGTATCGCTCGGTCTATTCTGGAGGAATGAAATCAGACAAGGATTTTAGGACTGAAAGCCTTTTCAACGACAGCTTTTGCATTCCATCTTAGCTATGGGAACAGTATGAAACCTTACGAACTTACGCCAGATCGGGTTGAATCTCAGTCTATATTGGATACAGTTGACCAGTCGGAGCCACCCGATCATCTGCTATCTTGTTCTACAGGCAGCACACATGTAGTCACAAAATAAGCTCAGATTGTCCCGCACTTGCTACTGTGGTGCTTATCTAAAGACACGAACCGGGGAAAGACGTGGTGTTCAGAGAACTCTTCAGCGCAACATTCCCACAAACCACTGCCTTGAAAAAGGCCTGAGCCACTGCCGATGCACCGGTAGGACTGGTATGTGTGTGATCCAAAGGGAAGTACGCATCGACAGCAGTCGCTCCCAGCGTCTGGAACTGGTCTGCCACATAAGCCCCGTGGTCAACATAGGGCACACCAGCGGCTGCAGCTGCCACCTGCGCATATCCCACAAAACGCGACGGGGCATAGGTGAAGGTACCGGTTTCCCAGGGGTTGTTAGGTGTTTGACTCGAGATGATCACATTTGCGCCTTTGGCCTTGAACACCTTCGTGGCATTCTCTACATATGCCGGGAATGTCAAGACTGTCTCGGCGACCCCGTTGTAGGTTGTGCTACAGGTCTCGCTTCCTGTACCACTACAGTCGGTACGCCCATTATCAGTCGGAGTCAAAGAGCCACCATCGTTGTGCCCGAACTCGATGATCACCCAATCTCCAGATTGAACTACTGCTGCAATGGCGTCGAACCGACCCTCACGTGTGTATGACCGTGCGCTACGACCGGCGATGGCCTGGTTGGACACGGAAAGTGAGGTATATGGCGTGACATATTCACCCCAACCTTAGAGTATTAGTATGCTATCCTTGGATGCTCAAGGAGAACACATACCCGCTGTACCAGATCCAGTCCCACCCTTTGCCATGGTCGAGTCACCAGCAAGGTAGATGGTCGCACCCAGCGCACTAGGGATGAGCGAGAGAAGAATAGCAGACTTCATGGCTAGAGGAATGTAGAGTAAATTCTTTGTGAAAAGGCTTAGTATTATGTTATGGAATCAGGAGTTTCTTCGAAAATATACATTTTCAAGCCCTGTTAAGCAATAGCTTGGATACGTGGAAAAAGTAATACCCTCAGCGGGGTATACACGGCCATTGTTGCGTAGATCTTGAGTTTCATGGCGTTCGGACAAGAGGAGATGCTGACGTGCATGGCGAGACAAGGCTGTAATGCGGAGATCCGTTGATCGTCGATGCTTTCTGATTCATGGAAACCCGTCAAAATAAAACATCCGTAGGTAGGACACGGACTTGAGAAATAATATCTAAGGCTTTTTGCTAAAATGTCGGGAATTATCCTGAAACATTTCACATATACGGAGTACTTCCGTGCATGTATACATGTATATAGCAAACGGTGAGATATGATGTTGCTGACAATTCTTGGCATAGAGTTGTAAAAATATTGAATACTACTACAATGTTTTGATATATATAGTAGAAATATCACAACTTCTCAAAGGTTGGAGTGCGCTTTTGCAACCCAGACAGCAGAGCTGCCGAGACATCCTGTGTCTGCAAAGCAGCGCTATTCCATACACTCGTATAGCGCAGTCCATCTTGCACAGAATGGTCGCGCGAGAAATTCAGGATCTCCTTGGTGCCTTGCACGGCCACGGGGCTCTTGCTGGCCATGAGGGAGGCGAGCTTAAATGCGGCCGCAATGGTGGCTTCACGGTTATCATAAACCGCATTAACGAATCCCACACGCAGCGCCTCCTCAGCGCCAAACTCGCGCGCCGTCAGAGCCACCTCCTTTACCCATCCGTAATTTCCGACCACCTTGGGGAGTCGGCTGAGAGTACCGACGTCTGCTGCGAGCCCGATATCAACTTCCTTGACTCCAAACCGGGTATCCCGGGCACAGAGACGCACGTCCGTTGCCGTTGACAGGTCAATTCCGAGTCCCAGCGAAAATCCGTGGAGAGCAACAATAACGGGTTTTTCACAGCGCTCTACTGCGGTTACACAGTCCTGAAAGGCGGTGATATGGCGACGAAGATCGACTGCCTTTCGAGCTGGGTCGGTCTTGGTGTCTGACGACAGGAGGCCTTCTGAGGCCGCTTTGACATCCAGCCCGGTGGTGAATGCCCTCTCTCCAGCCCCACTGAGAACGATTGCGCGAACGCGAGGATCTGACGAAAGTTTATTAAAGATCTGGGCCATGTTTTCCCACATGCTAGATTTGTTGTATTAGATGATATAAGGCCAAAAAGTCTAGGGGAGTTAGCGCTTACACTTCGATGAAGGCGTTCAATCTTTCCGGACGATTGATTTCCACATGGGCCACATATTGATGATTGGCGGGAAATTGCACAGTAAAATACTCGAAAGAGTAGTTGTCAGCCATGTTGGTTTAGGGATGAATTTTTCTGGAATCTGAGAAAGAGAGAGAGGTCGGGAGTATAAAAGGATTGTTGTTACACCGTGGGGGGGGGGGGGAGGGAACCTCGGCATTCCAAGGTTAACCTAAAACTTGGGGAACATCTATCTGAATGTCAACTTCAAGTGCATGATTTATCGAACACAGTATGTCTTGATTTACCTTTTAAATATGACTCAAATGATAACCTCTATTTTCTAAAACGTATACGCTTTAATAATACATATATATATGTATGTGCATATCAACTTGGAATTTTCATGTGCCTCGGCCTCGGCTCATGAGGTCTGGAATTATACAACATGTATTAAATCCTTACAAAGTACAGGCCAGGCATATGGAAAGTAGGAAAGATATTTCAAGAACAGACAAGTCTTACCATGAAATACGATAGTCAAAATATGTAAAATTTCATGGCTCCTCTGTGGACGCGAAGGGAATGATTGTTCACTCAATGGTGATCTTCTTGGAAGCAGCAGTAGCACTGGCCTTGGGTACCTTAATGGACAGGATGCCGTTCTTCAGACTGGCCTTGACATTGTGCTGGTCGACAGGGGTCGGGAAGGAGAAGACGCGCTGGAACTCGCCAACTGAGCGCTCACTGGCCCAGAACCGGTGAGTGGACTCAGTTTCGTCAGCCTTCTTAGTGCCTTCCTTCGCCTCGCCGTTTGGCTCGGAGGTGTGGTATTCGCGTTCAGTGTGGCCCTTGACAACCAGAGTTTGGGGATCGGAGAATTCGATATCGATGTCCTTTTGAGAGATGCCAGGCAGTTCACCATCGAAATGGTATCCATCTTCACTCTCACGGATATCAAAGCGAGGAGAGAACGAGCGAACCAAGGGCTGGTTGCGGGAAGAGCGGTGGTCATCGTAGTCGTCAAGAAGACGGAAGAGAGGGGCGAAGTCGCCATTGCCAGGGAAGTTGGCTCGGAGAAGAGACATTGTGTAAATTGAAGTTGAAAGAAGTGGAGCTGTATTGAAGATGAGAACTGTAGGCTATCAGAGGTTCAATACACGAGGGCCCCATAAGGGACTTATATAGACATAATGTACCCGAAACCAGAACGGTCGTTTACACAGAAATAGAACACAATGACAGTCACTGCTTCAAGGATTCATGTGCCCTTGGTCATAACTGTTCCCTTCTGCAATAAGGTGGTAATTGACTGACTACAGTATATATGTGTTAGCAGAATGCAAGTGTCATTGAGTGTAGTGACATGCTACATATATTGGGTTCCATGGTTAACTCCTGTTGGAGTAATGGTTTCTCCGGTACCCTGGATGATGTGCTTCTCCAATCCAATCACGTGACATGTATCTCATTCATTATTACTAGCCAGCACTGCCCCAGGCAGGAAATATATCCGTACTTAACCAGCATTGTGGGGTATGTCAGCGCTTTGTTTGCGGAAACCTCCTTACCCTTTTTGGAGCAGTCCCCACACTATCAATGAAAGTGTTCTTGTCACAAGGTGGCTAAGTACTCATCGGTCAGGGGAAGGGCGGATGATCGAGAGAGGCGATTGGATTGCATTCAACCATTGAATATTGGTGAAATCATGGTGCGGCCTTCTGTAACAAGGGGTGGGAGATGGCCACATTCATGACAGTGTTCTACGAATGCGGCGTGGACTTGGATATAGGGATCGGTCGGCTTTGCGTCGCGTGTAGGCTTCGTGTTCCCTGCAGTATGGCCGTTTCTGATCTATTCAGATTCAGATTCATCTAGCTGCATGATCTTTTCATCAAGGTCCTGTCATATTTGTGAGTCATGGCTCGAACATACAGAGCTAGTGTGCAGTCGGTACCTGATCCAGTCGAACCTTGAGGTTCTGGAGCTGGCTCTCCTTGATGACCAGATGGTTCTCGTCATCCAAATCCTCCACTATGTAGTCATGTCGCTCTTCATCGTACTTCAGGATCATGGATTTGATTGAGGGATCGCATTCGATTAGTAGGCCTGCCAAGGATTTAAAAAAATGTTAGCAAGAGATCTGCGAAGCGCGAAAAAAAAAGGGGCTGACCTCGGACAGCGCGGGGCATCTTGAATAAGGAGAAGAGGATGTGTTTTGGAGAGAAGAGAGTTGTGGAGGAGAAAGACCTCGGAAGTTGGAGAGGTGATTGGAGAAATATGCCAAGACATTTGGGCCCCTCTTTGATCATTCAACTATGTACATAGTATTTTGACTTGACTTCTTCTTATATTTCCCTCACCTATGACAGAATAGCTATTCTTTATAAGGACTTTAAGCTACAGCCACTTGGAATCTCACTATTCTTCAATCTCAATATCCATTTCCCTCATCAACCTACTCAAGCGCAAAAACAGATGGCCATTGGTGAGTGACTCTTGCCAATACCTTGGCTAAATCCACCATATCCGCAGTAGGTTCGGGAACAGACCAGGTTTCATCTTGCCACCGCAGCTCAAAATTTCGTATCTTTGCGTGTATTTCGGTAGCATTGTATGATGCAGTCGGTGTTGACTTCAAGTACTCGATGAACATACGCCAGCGCGGTACATAGTATGTATAAACGAGCCCGCCCCATTGCTTGGAAGCGTAGCCAGAGATCTCTCCATTTGGTCCCCATAGAGTAATCTGATTGCGCGCATTATATTCTAAGAATGCACTCTCGGTTTTGTTACCGTTGGCCCAGGCCCGTGCCGAATCAATCCACGTCGAAAGTCGGAAATTTCGATTGGTGAGAAGGATGGAGTCCAGGTCTGTCAAAAGTTGTAGGAGATTCTCCCCCTGCTCCGCAAATTTGTCTTGTGTAGAATCAGAGTTGTTGTAGGACTCAATTAGATCCGAGTACAACGGAATAAAAGCGTTATCCATGACTTGACGAGTCACGTCAACCATATCATGTAGATAAGCTGGGTTGGACCATAATCTGGGCTCTTCTTTTGTTGCTTGGTACATCCACTGCCACGCCCGTACCAGTATAGATGGATTGTAGTTGATAGATGTGCCGTATGTGCCGGCAATCTCGACCAAATCCCAACGTTTGGGCTCAAGATCAATAATGGACTTTGCCACAGCCAGAGTTGTCATGTTCGTGTTGTTATACACCGTCTGTCTCATCAAGTCCCAGGCTATGTATAGCCCATTCGGGATGCGTTTTTGGCCAGAATATCGGCTCGCCACCCAATTGTGAAAGTACTGCTGTGTATTCACTGGGGTCTGAGACCACGCCTGATCTAGAAGCAAGTCATACACAATCTCGTTTCCCTCTTGACTTTCCATGCTGAGGCCATATCCGACCATAGATGGAGACTCAATTCGTGCTTCGGTAGCATCTTGGGTCAGGTTTTGGATCTGTCCATATAGGCCCATGGTGCCTCCAAAGTTGTGTAACTGGCACCAAATCCAAGGTTTTCCATAATAACTGTTCGTTCGACGCCACTCTGGAATAGACTCTGAGTAAAGATCCAAGATCAGCATATCCTCATTTGAGTCTATACCAGACAGATAAGCTTCCACTCGCTCATCAGTCCAAAATCCAGAGTTGGAATAGAAAAGCCAGCCTTGCATCATCCATACCGCATCAGGGTCAGCCTGTTTTAAGCTGCGCCAGGTGTTGCGAGTGACATTACGCAAATAGTCCGCGTCACCTGAGTAAGGGTCGATCTCATTGTACTGATCGAGGGTGTAGATGTGACTGATGTTACCGTAAGCATCCTGTTGCTTGCTGATGAAACTGGCTTGGAGCTTTGCAAAATGGTCGTCGAATGGCTCAAGAAATGTGTCACTTGTGTATTTAAGGGGGAAGCCGCCCCATTGAGACCCGCGGACCACATTGGCATTTGGCAAAACACGAGATACATTAGCAGGAACAAATCCAGTGAAGGATGGCAACACAGGCGTCATCCCCAGTTCTACCATGCGATGAATGATCTTTTTCTGCAGGTCAAATTGTTGGTCGATCCATATCTCGGGAAGCCCAACGTGCCAGGAGCCCTGGATATTACCAAACCGATTCCAGGCCTGGAAGGCTGGGCCACTGAAGAAACTAGTAATCTCGGCATCCCTAAGGCCGATTTCACGAAAAACCTCTAGAACAATTTTCTCTTGGCCAACCCAAGCAAGGGGTAGATTCACACCGCGTAGGGCCATCCAATCTAGCTGTGACTCCCAATCCTCCCATGTCCAGAAGGCAGTGGTGTAGGAGAAGGTTACTAAGCTTGGTTAGCAAGATCAAAATCTACTTTAAGTCGATGTGCATCATACCTGTGTTGAAATGATACCGCCAAGGGACTGTGCTGGAGCCGTGAATTGGCTTGGTTAGGCGAGGTAGCTTGGATGGTGCGACATCTAATCGACTGCCAATAAACCAATAAATGTCAACATGGGCGACATCACTGAGATATCGATGCAAGCTGCGGATATAATCAGCCGTGCTATAGTATATATATAAAAGAAAATGACCATGTTACCCAGAAGCTAACGCGCTCAGGGAGGTCCCCTTGACCGAAATCGTCCCATTTAGAGCATTAGCCACAACATATGAATCATAGTCTCCCGCGAGATTAGGATCCAAGGCAAAATGAAAGCTGTTAACATGATCTGGTAGTCGCCGTTTAACAAGACTGGAGATACCCTCGGTGGACTGGGCCACTGTTAGTGCAGAAAGCCAGAGCAGTGACTGGATCCAGCGCATGGTAGATAATTGTATGAGAGAGTGCTATTAAACCAAATAGAAAAGCTCAGTATGAAGGGCAAAATACGAGATTTATATATGCGAGTGTTACATGCTATATATATACTTGGTAAGGTAAATAAAACAACTACAAAATAGGAAGGAAACCATAGCATACTATTCCCCCACATGGCCATGCAACTCTCCTGTACAACGTTGGTCTGAATTGCGTAGGGATATGCAATAATTTTACGCCAAGAGATGCCTATGCCCTGCACTAAAACAAATGTAACCTTTAACAGGGTTTACATACGAAAGGTACGGTAAATCACGAGCTTCTCATCTCTTCAAAACAGATAGAATAACGGTCACTATTATAAATTTGAGCATAGGTTGGACAGATATTTCTTTGAAAAATAGCGTCTAGGGATTTTTGTAAAAGTATATAACGCGGACAATCTTCAGAGGTTTTTCAAACTGCCTTCCCTGCTATAGGATAGTGAAAATTGCAAAGTTGTTTTGCACACAAAATCGCAACGTTGAAGTAATTTCTATCTGACCTCGAGGCTGAGAAACCGACGATCTACCGTATGTACCTTTTATGTACGTGAATCTCATTTCCATTAGGCCGTGGAGAGGTAAAGCCTGTTGGCTAAGACCTCTCAGTCAGGTAAGAAAATCCTTCTGGCCCTTTAATGCTTTCGCTAAGACTTCCGGATACCATCGCTGTCCAACATCTTGATGACTTGTGACTCGAGCAATAAAGGTGCCTTCGCCAATGCTTCCACGGAATATCTCGTTAAAAGTGCCCTCTGCATCTGATTTGACCTTGTCATTCTTCACCAAGGTACAGATATGAGCTGGGATTTTTAAAGATATCTTATCGGCAGAAAGATCGAGACTCACTCCCTGGAAAACCGGGAAGGAAAACCTAGGTCCCAAAGGGCCGATACTGCTTTGGAAGTTCTCCGGCCGTAAGCTTACGCGGTGAGTGGTCGCCGTGCAAATCCCCCCAGTCAGAGCCTCCAAGGAGCGACCAATGTTAATAACCAATGTTCCCGGGAGTGGCGGTGCAGGAATCCATGTCCCAGTCTTATTTTGGACCTCCAGACCATAGTGGGATGTACCCTGCAAAAGGAATGTGAGGAATCCAGAATCTTTATGAGGACCGACACCTTGAAATCCGGACTCCTTGTTGCTAGCTCCAGGCGGGGGAGGGTATTTGATCAACTTCAATTTGTGTTGTTGCGGGGTGTCAAAGACCTGATTGAATGTAGTTGATGGGAGGTCTAATGCCTCTGCAATAAACCCTGGGAACAACTCTGCTAGGCTGCTCACTTCCGACAGATATTTGTCGACTGATTCACGAAATCCGGGAATTGCCGTTTCATCTGGCCACTAACAGGGAATGTATATAAGCATTGACAGAAATACAAATAAAATATGAGATCTTACCTGGTTAGGACCAACCACATTCCTATACAAAGGCTCCTTTGGACCAGGCGCAGGGAGCTCGGTTGCGAACTGACAAGGGTGTTAGTAGATATTGGATTAAATAATAGAGGGCGAGCTTACATCGAATTGTTCGCGATGATCAGGTTTCAAAGCCGTGATTTCTGCACCAAGCCTTGAATAGCCCAAAAAGTGCGGACTATTGACCATTTCGATCTCAAGCTTTTTCTCTAATGGGAGTTCAAAGAGACATAGGGCCTTTTCTATAAACCGCTCTTGCGTTTGAACCGAAATAGGAGCATTTCGAAGATAGAAAAAGCCAACATTTACAAGGGCCTCTCGAAGGCTAGCCAGAAAGGCGGGCTTGGACGGCGATGATGCCTGAGAGAAATCCAGAACCGGAATCGTAGTGAAGGATGAACTCAACTTGCAAGATCAGCATAATTCAAGGAGCACATAATGGATTTTATAGATCATACCATTTCGAAATGAGAAGATGAAGTTTTTGAAGATGTAATGTAGTGATTCCGGAGTCGAAAACGAAAATGAAATGATTCAAGGTCTCTTTTGATTGGACTATGATGGCGAATGTGACCGTTGTTTTGATCGAAGAAGCTAACCCCGCTCTCGGAGTACGTTCTCTTTGACGCAGGACTTCCTTGTATAGCACATATATACGGAGTACTATATATTTACTTGATGGTTAGTACTGGCAGTTTGTTCCATTGATATCAATTTCTATTTTTTGGATAAGTATCTAACACATCCTTAAAACTTCTTATCCTGGTCTAATCATCTGTATGAGAGAGATGATAGAATATACCGGAACCCAACCGCCCGCGTCTCTAGATCGGTTGAATTAAATGGGTGAATAACCATCGAGAGCTCAGTCTCATCCAGCCTTTTGTTCATATGAACATGTACGAGTCGAATAACTAGAGCCACGAACGCCACTAGGAATGCTATCGCAGCGGTCGCACTTCCTCCCGAAACGTATCGAGGCCCCGAAGAGAAGGGCCACATATAATTACCGTAGATTGAAGCGGTATTTCCGATCATATTTGCAATAGCTATGGCAGCAGACTGTTTGATCAACGGCCCGGGGAAGGAATTGGCGACCCAGGCGATGATAATTTGATATGCAGGCACTGCTCCCATGGGCATCCTGATCGTTGTCAGGTATGTGAAGAACAACATAATCATAGACGACCCACAGAAACATGGCGAAGATTTTGGCGCTAATATTACTTGTCATAGTGGCAATTACACTGACCATCATAAGACAGACGATGTGTAGGCTGAAATCGTTAGTTTAACCAGATGTCCATGTCACTAGTAGCGAGACAAGGAATGTAGCAATCCACACGGGTGCAGTGATCAGAAAGATTTCGAATTTCCCGTATCCGAGTGCCTGCACAATAGTCGAGAAGAAGTATTGAAAGTTCTGCGACAGAAGCAAGACATGCTGAAGCAAAATAAAAAGATAGATGCGTTTGTCCGCCAACACCAGACCTATCGCTGTTTTGATACTGATTGAACCAACCTCATCAGCTTCTCCTGTAACATACATTAGACATCACTCTGCATATGCTTGTTGTCAGGAGAGGGCTACGTCGAAGTGCATGGTGGAATGTGAGTAGCTTGATTGAGTAGAGAGTTGTTGAAGCTAGGTTCTACGCTATGAAATCTGACACTTATTCCTATTCGTCTAACCAGGGAGTGGAACCTGGATGATTTGGAAGAAAGATACTATAGAGAGTGACAGAGTCAGCCTACGAACAGAATATAGGTACCAACTACAGACACGACTTACGCAGCGAGCAGGGAGATTTCCACAGTGATAACTCCCTCGATGATAACTAGCTATCTCCATCCCGCGATGCCATGCACATTATCAAGATTACTTAGTACGCTTGCCCTAATGAGACCCCCGAAAGCATTGGGCAACGAGCTACCAGAATAAAACTATATACGATAAGTCAACTAAGTGAGGAGGTTAGATATAATGCTTCGTCACTGTCAGAGGGTTGCAGAATCACCTCCTGTCGGGTATACTAACTCGATCTATACAAAGTAAATACCAGCAATTTCTCAGTTACACTTCTTGGTTTAAAAGAACTCAGATTAGCATAACAGCACCTAGGAAAAAAGGCGCTTCGAGAAATCCAAGAAAGAACCGTATTGCAATAAGTCCAAGGATGACTGAACAGCTGCTTGGCAAGCGGAAATCATACCCCTATGAAACGAGATAAGCGCTCTAAAACTGACTGGCCTCATTGTAATATATGTCATACCAGATAGCCATTGTAATACCTAGAGATAGTGAAGGCCGAATACGAGTTAGGAGCAGATTAGATAGAAGTTGCATCAGTAGATAACCGACAAATAAGATACTTGTGGCGAGATTATAATCGGTGCCTTCCATACCGAGATCTTCTTCAAGTGTACCAAGACGAGCCTATAATAAATTGCTTAAAAAAGGTATTAGGGTTCAGGATCCTGTATAGCTTCTGTAAATAGCGGCACCTATTTTCTGTCCAGGAAATTTGACAGATACATAAGAATAAGGAAGGGTAAGAGGTACCAGTCAACCTTGCGAAGAAGACGGTGGGTTATATTTCGATGCCATTCTGGACATTTAGAAGCATAAGTATAGTATAGAGCATCTTGTTCGAGGGCAAGGCCCTTGTTATCAGATTTTATCTGTTCTTCCGCTGGGGTTATCATTGTTTTTTTGTTGTAAGGCTGGGCTTATATTCGACACCAGAAACACTACGCTCTGTAGGGTTTAGAGGAGGTCACATAGATTATAAAGCAAATCATAGCGCGCACTGTTCTCGACTAAGTAAGCACATCGGCACAACTCCAGAAATTGAGCAGGTACTCCAGGAGAAAAACGGAGAAAAGTTTGAAGTAGAGTACTGTCAATAGCGGGTTAGAAGAACAGCTTGAGGTGCGATGTTTAGGCTGTCCTATTGTCTGTTGTAAAGCAAGGGATCTGCTTTGACCGTGATCTAACGCGGGGAAGCCATTCAGTTTGGGATAGCTCATCCCGAGTGTGTGGTCCACAGACGGACGAATATTCATTATCTCTATGATCCTTTTTACCAAAGAGTCTTGGTCGATAGACTGCGATGCCATTTATGCGAAATTTATGCATTAGCTTATCTTTCATGTTGACAAATATGCAAGAGGTGTGACGAAGAATACTGCGCAAGGTTGAACAGCGATATTAATACCCGAGTGTAGTGTACAAAATAACTGAGAGTTGGGAGACGCGTTGTGTGAGTTGGTGCCTGAATGCCTGAATGCCTCATTACGAGGTGTCAATAATGCCTGAGGCAAGTATATATTCTTATACTCGCTGACGTCACGATATACAGTCTCCCGAGGTCCATCTGGAGTATGTACAAGCTACTAGATCCACCATGACAAGATCGAGACAAAATCGAGACCATCAATATGACCTCAGAAATGAGCCTATCCTGGAGCATGCCAATAAATATCATTCTACATGAGCCCTGTGGGGACATTAGGATGATACGAGTGCGGTAATGACGATAGCATTCTATGTTAAAGCGAATCATTACTCCAGTAAGGGCCAAGCATCATACAAAATGCGGAGTCAATCGGGATAGATTTCAATCAGAAATATTTGATAGATTCCTATAAAAGGGCAGTTCTTGTCTTGTGGCATCCTTTACATCCTTTTCATCAATCTCACTCCCATTTCATAACACTCCACCACTTATCACCTCTTCATAATGGACAAAATCTCGGATCTCGCTTCCAAGATCGGAGGCGGCAAGGGCCAAGAATTTGTTGATAAGGGTGAGCTTTAGTGCCCTGAATTGTTTTGATGGGCTTTGATGGAATTCAAGCTAACATCAACAGGTCTCGGCGCCGCGGAGAAGAAGTTTGGCGGTAATGACCCTGCGAAGAAGGTCACTGATACCGGCCGTGAGCAGTTGGAGAAGACTGGGTATGCTTTCTCAGACCTAAATGGACCAAAGACAGCACTAATTTCATATACAGAAAGAGCATCCCCGACAAGTTCTCACACTAAACACTTCATGATGATGGCTGTTCTACCTATGAAGCACTGGGTTGAAGAGACTTTTCCTAGACTTTTCTCTCATATGTTAACTTCGGATGGCAACTGATAATAAACATAGTATCAGAATGAATACAATTGAATAATGACCGACATTTATTGAACTCAAAAAAAAAAACAAAGTTGTATATCGAGGTATAATAATAATCAAAAGACCACCGTCAATATCGCTGCAAGTTCGACAAAAAGCCCCCTAGCCCTGATCCCAGGCCACGACGGGTGTACATGGTGTTCGCTCGACACAGTTGCAGCTGAGTGTTGATGCGCTCGGTTGCTGCTGAGTCGTCCCGGCGCATACTCGCTACAAGGCGCTCATAGTACTTCTGTGCAGGTTCATACTCTTGGGCGTTGAAGTGTAAATTCGCCATCAGCTCCAATGTGGCTTGTGTTTCGGGGTTGTCTTTGCCTTTGCGATGCTCTACCCAGTTCAAATATCGTGTCAACCAGGGGAAGGCTTCAGCAGCGCGATTGTTGGTGAATGAACCTCGACCATAACTGTTTTGCAGAGCATACATGACGCCGATATTTCCCACGATATCCATCGTCAGCGGATGATCAGGCCCTAATGCTTCTTCTGCACTCGCCAGAGCCCGGCGTAGGGTCTCCGAGGCCTCTACACTCTGCTGCATAAAGCTTTGTGCTCGACCGTGGAGAGAGAGGGCGCGAATGGTAGACGGATGTTTATGACCTAAGGCAGTCTGAAGCTCTTGATAAATCTGTAACAACATCTCTACCGCTTGCTGCACATCAGGTTGAAAGCGCATGACAATTAGGGTAGTTGTGTTGCCCGATTGGTTGCTAACGATATATTCCAGTGTGTCCAACGCAGAGGCGAATACACGAATGTGGGTTTCTCCAAGTAGACGCTTTAGAGTGTCCGTCAGCTTTTCCCCAGTCGCGACGGCATTTTCCCGGCGACCTAGTGCATTGTAGGTCATTCCTAATCGTCGCCGCGTGTCACATGTGTCCAAGTGGTCTTCGCCGATAGTCATCTGCTGACGGGCCAAAACGTTGGCGCAGACCGACTCAGCCTCTTGAGGCTTGCCCCGTTGATACAAGACCTCTCCGGTCAAACTTTCCGTCTTCATTGTGAGGGGGTGCTTTGTCCCAAAGACACGTTGGGCATTTTCGGACACCCAATGACACCATTCATTTGCTTTCTCCAAGTAGTTGGTCTCGAGTTCCACTTCAGCTAGGTTGTATGCCACTGATAGTGTACTAAAATGGTCCGGGCCAAGGGTACGTAAATGCTCCTGGAAGATTTCATATTCGACGGTTCGGGCTTCGTCCCACCGAGCCCAATTCTTGAGTTCTGCTGAGCGAACAGATCGTGGGTCATTATCCAGAGCATTGAACATAACCCCCGTCACCCTTTGCACTGAAGGAGATGGGCGGCTCTGTCCCTGGTATGGCATGCTACTATTAGAATGAATGCGTGGTGGCACTGGTGGTGGAGATGAGGCGGCACTTGGAGGCATCGATTGTGGAATGAAGCCTTGCTCCGAGAAAAGCGCTTGATCGACCAATTGCTTGATGTTTCCTTTTATCAAACGATACATAGGACCCTGTGAACCTACCTTGCACATCTGTGAATGATCTGCGTCAAGCTTGAGTTGGGTTTCACGTAAACCGGACAATCCAAGAACCGCAGACTCTTCATCAACCACAAGCTTTGAAATATCAGCCTCTTCACTAGGATAACAGGATAAAATGATGTGGGGACAAGGGCAGAATTGAAATTATCAAGGGAATATGCTTACATGGCTGATAGATGCTGGTCCAATTCCCCCTATCTGCACCTCTTTTCCTTCGATGAAGCTTACAACACGATAATCCTCTAGCTGATGTCGGAACCGATCAGTCATTTGTCGGGTAAAAAGCGAATTGTGTTCTAGGCAGTCTAGAAGGTCATTGCTGGCATGTCCTTTAGAAACAAAGCGGGCAACTCGAGCTGCGATCTTCCCTAGTTCCACAGCCTTCGCGCCACGATGAGGTGTCCCAAAGAAGACAAGACCATAAGTTGCTGAGCGAATAGAAGTATATTTTGGATCTTCTTTAGCATTCAGAAGTGCCTATGCCATCAAATCAAATGGAACTGTTAGGAAGAGGGTGTAGGAAAAGGGTTCTGAGATTTTATATCTGACCTGTTTAATCACTAAACCCCCCAAACTATGTCCGATAAATATCACTTTTGGTGGAACAGAGCCCTACACAATATTAATTGATTATCCAAATAAAGATATCCGGGGCCTACGGTTTACCATCTGGGGGCCGCGCTCCATATCCAATAAGTTCAACAGAGTATTCGCGTGGTCTTTAATGCTTGCCGTGGACATGGTCTGAGGATGGGTGATATTTGAATTGTATCCGTAGACAAAGACGCGCGCATATGGAATGTCCTTTGCCAGGAAGTCCCTCGGCCAAAATTTGCCATTGCTATGCGTCCATGTCTGAAAAGGATGGTCATTTCGACCGCTTGGGTTCAGGCCATGAACAAAGACAAAACTAAAGAACAGCTTAGTCTTAGAAGGAACCCTCCGTATCGATTGGATATATCGGAATTTAGTATTCATACTCGACCTTGTGCGATTCCAGAGGAGAGTAGACCTCCTGTAAGAAGGGAAACTCATACTCCCCCGTATCCTAGAATTTGTTTAGACCTGTGCCTTGACATAGACACGTATAGATAGAATCCAAGCCTTACCATTCTCAATATTCAAGTCCTACTGTGAAAAATAGATTCGAACAGAGAGTCAAAAAATCGACCTCCAGTTTCACAAAATACCATAACCGAGGAAGAGAGAGAGAGAGGGATGAAATCGAACAACACGAAGCTGACGGGCTGAGCATGTGACTCCTGATAGGCAGTGCTTTGCGTGAATTAATACGTCGTAAACTTTTGGAGACAATCAAGGTAATCACTCTAGGTGCAACCAATAACATCAAAATATCAAATTCGGCAAAAATTGCCTAAGCTGTACAAATTACTTTGTGGCTTTACCTCGTGAACTGGTCAAGTTATGTACAAGACACTGTCAGCGGGGTTATCCGGCGCGATGCATCACATTTGGGCACACGCATGGTATCGGAGCGTTTCGAGGCTTGGTAATGAGCGACTCAACCAATAGTTTCCTTCTTACGCCCGATTCCGATCTTCATATCGCTCAGCCCCCTCTTTCTTCAATACCAGGTTTTGTAAGCATGGGGCATGAAACAGAGTTCCGCACCATGCTCCGTGTGCAGTTCGTGATGCAACCACCATCCACAATAGCAAAACAGCGCCACTTAAGACCTTTAGATGGAGAGTTAGCACCCATCGTTTATTTGTAGAGCAGAAAACGGGGAAGGGGCGGGGGGATGGACATACGGTACCCAGAACTTTGAAGAACATGATGTCCATTTCAAGACCCAATTCTATAGTGTTTGCAGCATACACCCCAAGCGGGAACGTAAATCCCCACCAACCCATATTAAAAGGAAACGGAGAGATATATAGAACAGTTGCTAGGGCAAACACGAGCCAAACCAACCCGAAGCTCCACATGAGGAGGGATATGAAAACACCCAAGACATATGCCACCTCGCCCGCAATAGGGTCCAGGAATTGAGAATCTTGTAATAAAACCCGTGCTACTTTACCAATATAAAGGATGCTGGCAGCGTATTAGCTACAGTCATAGGGCTCCAAGGGAAATTAGCGACATGCTTACCCAAACCCACCAAAACCAAGAGGCCCTAGGGGTAAAAAGCAGCTCACAACCAGTTCTCTTGGTGGGAGCTTATGCACTGCTAGTCGCTGAAAATAGATTACCAATATTGCAATTGCCAGAGGAGTGCCCATACCCCAGAGAATGAACGAGACGAGGAGTGTTCCCAGCGCATGTTGTTTGTTGGGTAAGACAATAGCAATTTCTGCGCCAACACCAGCTGCCACAATGGTTGCTGCGATTGGCAATAATTGAACGGCAGTGATCCGATCCAGCGAGGTGATGTAGCGCTGAGATATTCTGATTGGGTGTTAGTGTCTCAAAGATCGGGTTGTCCAGGACTATAGACTGACAAAATAAAGGACAGGGACAGAGTCACAGAAGCCGCAGCTACCACGTCTATCATCCATAAACCCCATGCAACTGTTTTGGCCCATTTGCCCCAGACTGGGACACAAATGAACAACCACATCTCAATAAGCGTAGCAAAGCCCATCGGGATAGTCGCCAAGAAGAGCGAATTAGTGGGGTCTTGAATCATCACACTCCATATTTCAGGATACAAGGCGTATCGGAGCACAGAAATAATGAAAGATAAAGTAAATAACACGAGATTGAGTAGGGAAAAGACAATTGACAAGTAATAGAGCACTGGAGTATCGAAAGGGACCGATATCATCAATACCGAAACAATGCCAGTGCCCATAGTCACAGAAAACCACCTGGATATTGCTATTAGCACACTCTACAGTGTCTCTGGAGGGAGGGAAGGCCATACGACGGACTGAAATTCCGCATGATGCGCCTCCATCCTACGTTGTACTTCACCGGACTTTCGTTGAGTAGTTTAGATGGTTTTGCCATAGGAAATAAAATGCACGCAATCCTGGGCGTTGATGGGATGAAAAACGGAGGCATTTTGTAGGTCAACCCCTGGGACACCAGTCGGCCGAGTACGGGAGTCGCCGAGATAAGTGGATTATCTTCATACTACGGAGTACTCCGTATATAATCATTCAGTGTTTAATTCGAATTTCGAATCATCATCTACTCTAACCGTATTAACGATAAATCAATCTTCGCCTAATGCAAAATGGTCACGCCCAGTCCCAGATCAACCAGCCCGAAGAATGCCTAGAGAGTGGAATATAGGTTTTATTGTGCATCTCCAGAGCTAAATGAGTCGGATTTGTATAAAACATAAGAGCCTTACAGTAGGTATTTTCTTGACACAAAGATACCCAAACCAAGCAAAGCCACTTCAATTCAAACGACTGGCCATCCGCTTGAGAAATCGATTTTATTCCACCCAAAGAGTTTCTGGCCATCGGAATAGCCCACAGTGGTGTCAACGTAGTGGTAGTAAAGCACTGGACCGAGGCTAGGATCAGTATACACGCCCCTTAGGAAAGTTAGCCCAATGATCAATTTCGGTCTATGAACCAATTTAAGAACTTACTGTCCACCAGGACCGTAGACTGTGCCGTGACTTTCTAGAACAACTGTGCCACCCCCGTTTGTACATGCGATGCCCGATTTATCGACCTTTGATAGCAAAACAGTTAGAGTAAGTGTCTAAGGCAGCAAAGGAATTGGGTGACAGACAAATCCGCTAGTAGGTGAGGTCGATCGGCAGACCTTGATCTTGTATTCTGCTCCGCTGGTGGGGCGAGATGTGTCGTAGCCACAACAGATGCCGGAAGAGTAAAAGAGGTAGTAGTAGCTTCCATACTGGTACATATAGACCCCTTCCACAGCGTGGGTTCCAGAGGGGTCATAAGCTAGATTGTGGGACGATGATGCGACTTTAGTGGCATCCGAGCTCATTGGGGCCTGGTAGATATCGTGCCAGAAGGAGCCGAAATTCATATAGTAAGTACCGCCATCCTTGAATAGATTGCCATCAATGGCATTGTACGCACTGGCAGATGATGAGGCAATACCAGTCGTTCCATGGTCAGTCCAGGAGCCCGGCTCCATGGTTGCAGATGTGGCTAGTCCAAGGGCTGAGTTCTGTGAACCAAACGTCGATACAGAGTAATAAACATAGTAAAGGCCGTTCACAAGATGGACATCTGGGGCCTAACGTGGAAGTTAATACTGAATAGGTTCATTTCTTGCGGGCAAGCTTCGATAAAAGGATCGTACTTACCCATAGGTCATCGCTTCCAGCGAGATCAATAGAAGATCCACTAGGCAACATAGACCCAATAGTAGTCCATGGGCCGTCGATAGATGAAGAGCTCGCATAAGAAATCTTGTTGCCAGTGGAAAATCGGAAATAACGTTTGTCTGATGATCTTTGTATTAAAGTTGGGTCATGCACAACGCAGGCCCCTGAACAACTGCCGGGGTTTGCATATCCATGCACGAGGGCTGCAAACAGCACCGGTTTGACAATATTACCAAAATGCATCGAAGATGACTTGTATGTTGAACGAAGAGCGATCAATCTTCATCAGTGGGCTCCCATAAATATTTGTATACATTATTTCTCGGGGTAACGCATGAATCATTGGTGGAAATTCGAACGTTTTTCTTAACAGGACACGGAGGAAGGTCTTGTGCAGCGAGCATATCCGATACTCTGGATAAAACACAGAAGAGAGGGGGGAAGAAACCAGTGTTCTGACGATCAATGTCTAAAACAAGGGGCAAAAAACCCCTTCAGGAAATGAGCTAGTGGGAATTAGAGCACCGACTGGTGGGAATTGCCAGAACCTAGTATATGCGCCACCATGCAACCAAAGCACGCCAAGTTCCCGAGAATCCCAAATTGGCACAGTAGTGATTTTATCAATCGGACAAAACGGAGTGCAAATGCAACAATTTTAACTGAGCTGTAGTCGCTTACCGTCCAAGTTGTAGTTTGGTTTCTTGAATCGCTATACATAACAGATCCACGGATATTTACAGCAAACCAGCCATGACTCGTGTCAACGCCTCATCCTCGGCATGGAAGGCGTCCAGCGCATTGGGTGATCGTGGGTCACCCGGAGGGGCCAACCCCACATCTGCTCCGGTGGCACCGTCCGAACCAGCTCGAGGGTCAAAATATAACCCCCCTGCAATTTCAAAAAAGCTGCTCAAGTCTTCACAGACATTGGATTCAGGACCAACTACTGTACCAGGTGACAATGGCCAGAAAGCATTAGATGAGAGCTGAGGAGTAGTCGCCTCGGATGTTTGATGGAGGCTGGGAGTATAATGTGCAACAGCAGAGTCTGTTGTGGATGATACCGGTGTTGTATCCCATATGCCGCGCGATGAGCTCAACTTATATTGGGATGTAGTATGTGAATGAAGGCCAGATGTGTCTTTCTCATCCTTGGAATATGTCTCTGGGGGATGAGCTCGATGAATAGATGATTGTCGGCCAGTTTCACTATCCCACCTAAGGTTCAATTGAATCCGTTTCAAACTGTGAAGAACCTTTTGCAATCTCCGAGAAGTACGGGCACGGGTTGCCGAGCGGCGAACCATGTCCACGGCAGTATAGAATTCGGGCCGGCAGGCGTGGCTGAAGCGCGCCGGGGCATGTAAAACGGCCAGGAAGAGGGCGGCGAGGGCTGATAAGAGAAAATAGTTGAATGGTTCTGGGCGCTGGAAGTATATACTTGAGACCCGGCTGAAATAGTCTAGCATATGAACGGTGCTCTTCGCCGTTTCTACGGCCGTCGACGCACCAGTCACATTGTCCGCTATCCGCTCATCGCTGAGCAAGTTCTGTCGATACACAAGAATTCGAAGCTGGTTTGCCTGTAAAGCAAGCAGAACCTGAAGCATCATTGCTCGATCGGTGTGCTCTGATCCAGCGGGGGAGCGCCAAGTTGGATCAAAACGCAATTCGTGCGGAATGGAATGGATCCATTGTTGAACCTGAGCGTCCAAATAAGCGCAACCATCTGAGGTGGCCGCTTGTGACCGGTTGGGCCATCCGACGACCAGGCCCCAGATCTTTGTGCTCAGGCGTGCGTGAGAAATCATACAAGTCAGGTATGGGGTAGAATGGCCCGGCTCAGGTAAGTTGGTGTCAATATCAGAATCTTGAATGGCAAAAGGCAAACCCGTGCCAAAGGCGCACTTGCGATCTAACACATAGATGCACCAGAAAAGTCGGCTAGCCCATGTCCATTCCAATTCGCCCGGGAAAACGCCTCCTGTCTTTTGCCAGGTCTCTTGACGATGAAGACCTAGCTCTGTACTCCCTCGAATCGCCATACCAATCAAACGCCCGGCGATGACTTCATCGTCGCGATAAGAGTGAAAAATTGACTACCACAGTTAGTACGCTTTCTTTTAGGTTGGATCACCATAGAACAGCATAAGGAAGGATTTAGGATACACACCAACAGGGTCAGAATGAGAATTTCTTTCATATCAACATCAGCAATTTTTAACCTACTGGCAAATCGATCCTCCACACTGTCAGCCAGCTGGGCAGCACGCTCACTGCGACCGTGGGATTCTACTAGTAGAGCGGTCGCTAACAGGATTTTCAGCACCTGGACATCGCGCGCAGAGAACCAATCCTGGTCCGAGGCTGTTTGCGTTGACAATACAGATGAAGATGTAGTGACTGAATCGTAAGAGCGATAGAACTCGAGCACATATGCTCGCACTCCATCCAAGTCGACACAGGGGTACATCACACCGACTGTATCTTCATAGACCTGCACTAATCGCAAGGTTTCATCTGCGCCCAGGCTTCTCAAAGGATGCCCAATATGAGAATTTTTGCCTCTATCCGACGGCGCAGGACTGGGGGTAGCCGTTGATAGGTCAAGTTCCTCACCGCGATCATCAATTGTGGCACAGTCGCCAGCTTGAGGGGATAAGGACCTTTGAGAGCGAGTGAGGCCAAACTCCGCACTCGTAGGTCCGACGTACGTAGGAGATTTAGGAGCATTTAGGATACGGTGCAGGCTCCCCGTGGGTGGAGTCGACGGATTAGAGACTGAAGCAGGACCCGGGGATTCAAGCTCACGGACGCGGGCGGAAAGGGTCCGCATTTCCCGCCGCAGAGTCTCCAATTGCCTGTCAACAGCTTCGAATCGGAGATTCGCTCTAGATAAAATTAGTATAATGCCTCTTTTGGCCAATAAAAAGAATGATGACTGGACATGATTGGGAACTCAAGAGAAGACATGCCTTGCATCGTTGAGGTCAGTCTCTTGGATCGACGTGCTGGGAGGGCGATGGGTGTAGACACAAAGTATCTGATCACGAGAACATCTCACACAGATCAAGCCACCACTACATTTCAGCTTGCGTCGTTTGCATTCATTGCTGGGATTGTCAGCATCAGACTGTAACAGTAGAAAACTTCTCGAGAATAAGCAGACGCACCAAGCAACTTGGGTATATTTAGCTCGTTTTCTCCGTTGAGACGAATCATCATCCCGTGAAGACCTTGGAGATACGGGAATCATGGTATCGATAAACCAATTCTCGAGGGTGTCACCCAAGCAAGGGGGTTGGAAAGGAAGTAATCTAATCTCGGAACTCGGAAAGATAAACTAATACCCGTTCCGCTTTCGGAGGTGACAGACAGGCTTGGAATATACATATGTATGTATATATGAGTGAGCTCATGGATGTATAAAAAATTATTTAGTCGCATATGCAACCCCTGCCCCTAACGACGTATATGTAAATGTTTGAATACTTGGGGCGTTATATAAACACACTCCGAGGTGTTTGTGGATGTTCTTTTTAGACATCTTTTCAACGGGTACAACGAAGCTAGTAAAAAATATAAACCGGCACCACTAGACTAGGGATTTGAACATTGTTGATCATTTATTCAAGTTTTTTAAAAAATGATATAGTAATACCTGATTGGTTTGATTTCATCCCCTAGTATCTTCGAGAATCCTTTTTCTTTTTCCGCTGGAATTATGCGGGGCAAAAGCTACATAGATGTCGTATCTACGGAGTACCTACATATGTAGGGTGTATACATGGTATATATGTATTGTAGTGCGGAGCTATGTCCTCTACTAGGTGTCGATTTGGCCTTTCTTTCTTTAGTTAGTTACCTAGTTAACTGTTCCGTAGTTTTATCATGTGATCGTTGAAGTATCCCAACATGGATAAAGGATTTAGGGAGTAGATAGACACAGATTGATAATACACACTCCTGCATCTCTCTCAATTGACTCCTTGGGCAGTACGCCTAGGTTACTTTCGTATGCAAGTTGGGTATGAAGCTGAACTGCAAGTGCTGAATCGACTCGTGTGCCTGAGAGCACACAGCCTTGAGCGTTCCCCTCTTCAATATATATTCCTAATACTATGACGATGCTATGATAAAATGCTTATTTTTATTCCTTTTTCCCATCAAATGTGCGACTTCCGACAGCATTCCGAGTCAGCTAAGCGCGATGATATATTCTTGTTCGAGGGCACATCAAGTGACGGGTTGGCAACAAAAAAGTCTGCAGGCCGGATCATAAGTTGGAAGATTTCGACGGGCCTATTAAGATGAGTCAGTACAACATAAAGAAGAAAGAAAAGGAAAAGAATAAGAGATAACATACATCACGGGCCAATCTTCTACACGAGGATTGTGGGTGATACCAAAAGAGTTCCAAACCACCACGTCAGTGTCCACAACAGAGTCACCCCGAAGAACAGCATCTGAGACACCTTCAACTTCAGTTTGACTCTGTAGAGTATAACGACCTCCAGCATAGAGCTCACCATCGCGATATTTCGTGACCCAGACATGGTGTTGAGCAAATTGAGCCCGGCGCGCCTGCACCGATGCAGGATCGGCTAGTAGATGTTGTGTGGCCAGTGGAATGAATTTATACCCTACAGGATTTCCACTGATAGGATTCTTGATGTGAGGATTGATCATCTTGATGGTCCGATTTAGCTGCGGAGCGGCATCGATCCAACATGCACGCTCAACGGTCTGCTTGGTGACTTCATAGAAGTTCCCGTTTGGGTTGGTGACCGCATTCATTGGCACTGGATGGGATTCCTCCACCAAAACAGAGTTATTGGGGCCGTCAATAGCTGGATCAATTCGGATATTGAAAATATGCTGGTGGTTCTGAGCGAGAACGCCACCGCTCACCACGTTCCCGTACTCGCTGACCTTACCAGCATCGATATTGACCACGTTCAAGATACCGGTTGCGCGTGCTTCAACTGTGATTCCACCTGACTGATCGAATTTATAGGCGAAGATATATTCATAGTTGGCCAGTGTGATGATAAACTGGACCACGAGCTCCCGGTTCCGCGTGACGACAGCGCGACCGGTCCGCCAGTTGGAATGCTTCCAGCCAATTCCGTTGTCCTGTTCATGAAGACAAATCGCATTTGGAAGAGTCTGAGCGGTACCGTCTGCTTGGGTGACAATGGCATCGAAATATTTGATGACTCCGAGACAGTCGCATCCGAGCGAGAGGTTGTTCGCCATGTTCCCGCCACCCCCGTCGCCAAAGTCAAAGGCCTGTTTTCGATGGAAAGGGGGCCGCGGGTCAGCGTAAGGGACAGTCTAAACAAACAAACCACAATTAGTTTACAGCCATATGTTTAGGATAACATCTCATTTACCATTTCGCTGATCGCCAGCCGGTGCATCACACTACGGCCATCATACGAAACATCGTGAATCGTCGCTCCCTCTCGCGGATTAAATGCAACACGGAACCGCCACTTCTGCCATTCAACTAGGGACTCATTCGTGACTCGGAAGGACGGACCCTCAGGTTGGACCACATTCAGTGGTTTGAGATCCTTACGAGTCCCCTCGGGCATGAGCTCTGGGACGTATTCGGAGGGCTTGCAGTGACCAATGATATCCCGCTTGAAAGTCTGTTCAAATAGGCCGTCGCCTTTGCCGCCTGTGGCGGGTCGATCTACTCGGATGATCTCTTGGGTGTGAGCGTCCATCACCGGGATAATGGGCAAGGGGAATGAATAGAAATTGGAGTCTTCATTCCCAGAACGTTTATCCTGGGCGAAACAAAGCCCCTGGAAAAAACGACGATTTTCATCCGTGTGATCCAAGCCACCATACGGCCATGGTTCAATGACGACCTCGAAACCTTCAGGAAGATCGAATTCCGATAGTGCTTTCTGGAACAATGATGATTTCATACATTTATCGACGAGAACATCAAATTCGCTCCTGGTCAATTGTTAGGAAACTTCAGATGTTCAAGTTTCATTTCTTCTCACAGAGTCAAACTGGCATGATATTCCTTCCCTACCACCGTATGCTTTACTCGCGACTGTGAAACCAAATCGATCACAGATTCGTGAAACTGAGGAATGCGGTCCGCTCCGATCACGTCGTATTGGCATAGAGCTAGACGTGGGGGCCGTGGGGTAGTTGGGCTCAAGCGACCGGCATGTTCGAACGCTAGAAATTCCTGAAGCTGAGCTTTGGGTGGTTCTTGTAGGAATATCTCCCGAAAGTCGATCACGACATTTGGATGAACAGATTTGACCACATCGCGGGCCAAATTTGTCTCTTCGATTGAGAGAATACTGAGTGGGTGAGACATGACAGGAATCAAGTTATGGCTTTGGCTCTCCCGGTGACATCCCGGTCGGGAGGTTAACTTATACACGCTCGGAACCTCGGAATGCTCGGAATGATCCCGGGAGGTTCCTGGGGGCAACGGTGGAGATCCGGAAATGGTTCCGTGATGATAGACAAAGATAGACAGAAAATTCACAAAACTGCGGGGGAAAATACCAAGAAATGATATCTCTGCTTGAGAGCATAGGCAATGCGACCGTTTTTTCCCTTTCCTTCTGTATAAATATGTACATGTGTACATATGTGGTCCATAGGATGTGCAGATCATGGCCGTATTGGAGTATTACCTTTATGGCCATATCTTGTCATAACCCCTCTCTATAGCCCTGTGAAAGGTACATATAGACCTCGGAAGAATGTTATGTCTCTTCCTGAACTTATACCAAAATATTCATATTTTCTATCACCTACAATTCACGAGTAGTGTGGAGTATGGATCCCATATCAAACCAAGAAAATAAAGCGCCTGCTCCAGAGAAGCTTATCAGCGATGAAGCCCAACTGGCAGCTCTCGGCCATATTCAAGAGCTCCGTCGCGATTTCTCCCTATGGTCAATTATTTGTCTTCAAATCTCTCTGATGGCCACCTGGGAGGCGTTATCCTCGGTTGTTGCTACAGCTCTTACAAACGGCGGAGCGCCATGTTTGTTGTATAACTAGTGAGTTCTTACCCAACGATACTCTCATATTGGAAGGCTGATTGTGTGACCAAACCTAGCATCATTACCTTGATTGGTACAACGTTCATCGTCCTTTCGTTGAGCGAAATTGCTTCTCTCTATCCTACTGCTGGCGGTACGATCAACTACTCTACTTCATATACCTATCCTGATACTCCATTCTCACACAATTAATTACATTCAACAGGCCAATACCATTGGGTCCATTGTCTCACACCAAAATCGTATCAAGCCACCGCATCTTGGTTTACTGGTTGGATTTCAATCGGTGGACAGGTGGTGTTTTCCGCATCCGCAGCTTTCGCGGCGGGCTTACAGCTACAGGCACTCATCACATTAAACCACCCCGACGCTTATATCCCAACTAGATGGCAAGGGATGCTCTTCTACTGGTTCGTATTAGCTTACTCGACAGCCGTGAATATTTGGGGTTCTAAGATCTTGCCTCACACCAATAGAATAGCCGGTAAGACAGAAAACTCCCAGACCATTGGTGAATAAATCAAATTCTGAATCACGAACAGGTGTATTGCATGTCATTGGGTTTCTTGTGATAGTAACTATCTTGGGAGCAATGTCCGAGAAGCACTCTGCAAGTTACGTCTTCGTCGAATTCTCCAACAGTAGTGGATGGGACAATGATGGGGTCTCCTGGTTGGTAGGACTGCTGAGCACTGTATATCCTTTCCTCGGGTACGATTGTTAAATATACTTTCAGCGGGTCGAAAGCTGACTGTCCATTCTAGATATGATGCAGCTTGCCATTTAAGCGAAGAAATGCCAAACCCGTCCCGTAATGTTCCACTGGCGATGGTAGGCAGCGTCATTATCAACGGAGTGATTGGCCTGGTGTATGCAATTGTCCTACTTTTCTCCCTAGGAGATCTAGAATCCCTACTTCAGTCGAAGACGGGATTTCCCTTCATTCAGCTCTTTTTAAACATCACGGGGTCCCCGGCTGGTTCCTCCGTCCTAGTCCTATGCATCACCTTGACCGCAATGGCCGCCAATGCTGCATGTGTGACATCTACTAGCCGTACGGCCTGGGCATTTGCACGGGACAGTGGCTTGCCAGCGTCAGGATTCTTCGCAGAAGTGAGCCCCGCCCTGAAAGTTCCGGTGCGCATGATTCTGGTGGTTGGCTTTCTCCAAATGTTGCTTGGATTGATCTATCTTGGTAGTTCAACAGCCTTCAATGCAGTGCTATCGATGGCCATTTTGGGAATGTACGCCTCGTATCTTTCACCGATTGTGTTCATGTTGATATATGGCCGACGAAACCCAGCACCGAGTGTGCGTGGACTTGGCTCTGGATCATTCAACCTAGGGCCACGATGGGGCCCCGTGGTGAATATAACTGCCATCATTTGGCTCATCATAGCCATGGCTTTCAGCGCGTTCCCAACGGTAGAGCCCGTTACACCGGAAAATATGAATTATTGTATCGTGGTGACGACGGGATGGATGCTAATAGGAGGGATTTATTATTATCTGCTGGGAGGAAAGAAGCGATTTACGGGTCCAGTGATAGAGTTGGTAGAGGGCCTATGATTACATACTGACTCTTGGAAGTGGGCCTCAGAGCATTGAATATAACCAGTTGGAGATTGAGGGTTTCTATAACATCGTCTCAATGTGGAATAGTATCATACACATAATTTACTCCCCTCAGATACCGTAGTCGATACAATAGCACTATGTATGCTGTACATCGTATTGCCAGTCTCTTCTCTTTGCTCACTGATAATTTTGTACCTCATTTCTCTCTTTATCCTTCATTTTCTCCTTCTCTTGTCCTTTCATTCCACAGTGCCCAACTCAGTATCAGTTCGAAAGTACAAAATGAGTATAATAGGAAGGCCAACCTTTTATTGCCATTTTCGAGTATATTATTCACCACACCACACACAATCTCAAGATTAGACATCGGAGACTAACTCTATCCCATGGGGGTGGTTGCAGTCTAGTAGACTGGAATTAGGACTTTGTCTTAACTATGGTGGGAAAAAGTAGGGCTATAAGTAGACTGGAATACTTTTCGTGAGTAGACTAGAAAAGCTTCTTATACGAGGACGAAGCTCAAAATTTGTAAAGTTCTATTCTATACTGTAAAGATTATAGTCCCCAAATTTTAGAATAATTGATCAAGTTAAAAAGTATCAGCGGATACAATAGAATCAGATATATCTATTGGTGCGGTGATCCTGCTACACAGTAGATATTGATAATAATTGATTGATTCCTTAAGACTAACTAGAATCGAGAATGCTAACTATTTCGATATTCGAGTCTGGGCTGGAACGGCCATATAACCTGAGATTCTGTAAGGATCGCATGGTTTCTATTGGATAGTACTAGCTAGCGAATAACGTATTTCACATGCGAGTGGCGCACATAAGCGAGCGGCGCAGTTCAAAACACATAATAAATGCGATATATTCTACATTTATACTTCAACAACCATATTATTATTTTAGCTCCTTATTTGTCGATAGCTATCGATAATACTTATTAGCACCATATATCAATTTTAAAGATATTGGATAAGTATATTATTATCATTTCAAAAATTACCGAAAATTACGTTACTAAAAACTAGAAATATATATATCTCAATCATAAAGTTAGAAACTTCCTTCAAATCCCGTAAAGAGACTAGATATCACGTAGAAAGTATGAGGCTATAAGGAGAAATCCTTATAGACCATAGTGGTTGAAAAATCAAGTTGTGATTTATCGCATTTACTATATGTTTTGAACTGCGCCGCTCGCTTGTGTGCGCCACTCGCATGTGAAATACGTTATATCTCATCTAATTATATAAGCCAATATTAGACTGCGGCACGATCCACAATATCCGCGGATATCCACAATCCATATCCGCAAACTGCGGATATGGATATGGATCTCATGTCCATTGGATATTTGCGGATATCCAATGGATATCAAACAATATAAATATACCTAGACTCGTGACCTCGAGGGGTGTGTATTAATTTTATGTTTTCCTCTGTATTTTTCGTGTAATAGTATGTTATATCAAATAATCAAAATCTGGATCTTTTGGGGGTTGTATAAATTTAAATCTTCTTATTCATTTATATATACTATTTATAGATCTAACTGTAAAGGGCTACGGTCGAATTGAGTCAATTAAACGGCGCCTGTATACTGTTTAGCTAAAGTTTAGGAGTTTTACTATATAGGAACTCCACGATAGTGTTATATTTTCTTAAAGTTATAGGGTGGTAAGCGCCGGTAGTTCCTAGGCCCCAGCGCCTATTCTCTGACCTCGGTTAGAAATCCTCTTATAGTAGGGGTCTCTCTCTCTCTTATAACCGTGTTTAGAAACTTAGGCTAGGGGGAGACTAGCAGCGTACACAGGTAAAGCCCGAGCTCTAATACTGGCACTATCCTATTATACTAACTGGAAGCTATCTAGTAGCCTTAGCTGTTTTCGAATCCGCCCTAAACGGCCTAGTATACTCCTATCCACCGGTATCTCTGGAAGCTTATTATCCTCTTTAACAGCGTCGTATAGTTGTTTTTGGGGTTATTTTCCTTTTACCCGTCTACGTCGCTCGGCACTATTATTATCCGAGTTATTACCGCCGCTCTTAGTGTGCTGGGTAGCCTCGAGTCTAGTCTCTTAATCCTCCTCCTCGTTATTACTGATAGGCTCTAAGACCTTAAGCTATAGTAATAATCTCCGGGTTTAATCTAGCAAAGCAGCTTTACCTTAGGATAGATACTCTTTGATAATCTCTAGCTCCTTATATCGAAGATCAAAGTTAGTAGTAAACTGATATATAGACTGCGACATCGCCCGTCCATAGGCACTAGAAAGTGTCCACGGCCCGTGGGCCTTTCGAAATTTGACGCCCATCGCCCACCGTTATAGGTTTAGGTTTAGGTTTAGGGTTTAGGTTTAGGGTTTAGGGTTTAGGGTTTAGGTTTAGGGTTTAGGGTTTAGGGTTTAGGGTTTAGGGTTTAG